ATACTTTTTTATTTTTTAAATTGATTTCAGAGGGGAAGGGAGAGAGATAAAAATATCAGCGTGAGAGAGAATCATTGATTGGCTGCCTCCTGCATGACCCCTACTCGAAATCAAGCTTGCAGTCTTGTCATATGCCATGACCTCCTGGTTCATAGGTCAAAGTTCAACCACTGAGCAACACTGGCCAGGCCTACATTCTATTTTGATTGAACAATGCTGATCCTATCTAATAAAAGAGTAATATGCAAATTGATTGTCACTCCAACACACAAGATGGCCGCCCCCATTTGGACACAAGATGGCCAGCAGGGGAGGGCAGTTGTGGGAGACCAGGCCTGCAAGGGAGGGCAGTTGTGGGGGGACCGGGCCTGCAGGCGAGGGCAGTTGGGAGGGACCAGGCCTTCAAGGGAGGGCAATTGGGAGAGGCCAGGCCTTCACGGGAGGGCAGTTGAGGAGGACCAGGCCTGCAGGGGAGGGCAGTTAAGGGCGACCAGGCTGGCAAAGGAGGACAGTTAGGGGTGACCATATCAGCAGGGGAAGGTAGTTGGGAGGGACAAGGCCTGCAGGGGAGGGCAGTTGGGGGCAACCAGGCCAGAAGGGGAGGGAAGTTAAGGGCAACCAGGCTGGCAAGGGAGGACAGTTAGGGGTGACCAGGTCAGCAGGGGAGGGTAGTTGGGAGGGACCAGGCTGGCAGGGGAGGGCAGTTAGGGGCAACCAGGCTGGCAAGGGAAGGCAGTTAGGGGTGACTAGGCCAGCAGGGTTGGGCAGTTAGGGGTGACCAGGCTGGCAGGGGAGGGCAGTTAGGCATTGATCCGGCTGGGAGGGGAGTGGTTAGGGGGTTATCAGGCTGGCAGGCAGAAGCGGTTAGGGACAATCAGGCAGGCAGGCAAGTGGTTGGGAGCCAGCAGTCCTGGATTATGAGAGGGATGTCCCTTAAGGGATCCCAGATTGGAGAGGGTGCAGGCTGGGCTGAGGGACACCCCCTGCCCGTGCACGAATCTTGTGCACTGGGCCTCTAGGTTAGTATAAGAAGATTTTATACAGGCGAAATTTTAGTGCGCTGAGGAAGTTAGGATAGGAGGGAACCCATATAAGATAAAAAAAAAAAAAAGGAACAATTTCTACTAGTACGTGCCCAGCATTTTACCAACAGAGCTCTCCACTACTCTGTGTCCTCTAACAGTGGCCAGCTAACACCCTGAGGGCAGGGACAGCATGTCCTGTAAAAATCAGTATGGGGCCTTGCTCAGAGAAGGTATTTAAGAAATGTATGCAGGATAAATGTGCTCTTAAGAAAATGAGCAGCAAAGATGATCTAACATGGAAGATAAAAGCATTTACATCTGGTGTCACTTAGTCTTTGTTTCTATAATTTAAAATTTATAAGCTTTTAAAAATATATTAGCTAATATTACTTAATGCTCTCTGTGTGTTACAATTATTTTCTGATGATATCCATATAACAAGCCTCCAAGACATGCACTATTCCCCCCATTTTAGAGATGAAGACAGGGTTTAGAGGCATTGAATGACTATCTAAAGTCACACGAAAAGTAAGCAAGAGAACTGGTGTTCAACGCCAGGCAGACTGGCCTAGTTCTTAGCCACATGCAATCCTGCCTCTCAAATCTAAGGCTCTGGAGTATGCTGATAATAAGTAATGATAAATCATCATTGTGTAGATGCAACTCAAAAAATTAACATAAACAGCGAGGCAGTTTTCCATCTTTCGTCCTGGTTTCTTATTTGTTTGCCAGGAATGGAAAGCACCACCTCCCCTGAACATAATGTGCACCAACCTATTTAGAAGAGGGAAAGGAAAGACTAAGTGTATAATTTCCAGCCTCTTCTAGGATAGCATGAAAGTAGATTCCCTTGTTAAGAACTACGTGAAAAGAAAATTGGCCTAGATCAGTGGTCGGCAAACTGCGGCTCAGCAAACCGCGGCTCACGAGCCACATGCGGCTCTTTGGCCCCTTCATTGTGGCTCTTCCACAAAATACCGGCTCTTCCACAAAATATCGACTTCTGCGCATGGGCCACAAAGTTTCAATCGCACTGCATGTGCCCGCCCGCACGTGGTACTTTGTGGAAGAGCCACACTGAAGGGGCCAAAGAGCCGCATGTGGCTCGCAAGCCATGGTTTGCCGACCACGGGTAGATAATTGAAAATGTTGGTCAATTCACACAAATAAGAATGAGCTGAGAATTACACATTTAATGGTTCTATTTTACTATATTTTAAGATCAACTTTAAAGTGACAAATGACATTAATAAAAGTTACATTTATCTTCAGTAACATCATACGTACAGTTCACAAGTCTCTGTCTAGCCTTCCTCAAAAGACTTTGGGGCCATTTAGCAGATATGGGCATTGGAGGAAGGAAAATATGGGGTGTCTCAAAAAATGTATACACACTTTAACAGCTGATTTTATTACATTTTGAAAATGAAATGTATTTTAATAAACACTGCCTTTGTAACTTATTCAAAGTATGTATACAGTTTTGGGGGTACCGGCTGTGAACCAAAATTAATTCTGAGCACATAACACTGCAGTCCAACAGTCAGGGAGGAGTTTCTGGAGGCCAACTTATAAGTGAAGTTACTTCACATTAACCCCAGTGGCCCCTGAAACTCATGCTGTAATATTTCCGCAGTTCTCGATTGCAGAATTAGAGCTAATTCTAAGAAAAAAATCCCACTGCACCATGAGACAAGGTTATTTTGGTAGAACCAGCCAACTGGAAGCTCTTTGAGCTTCTTTTCCTTGTGATCAAAGTCATAATCAAAAGTACTACAACATCCCTGAAGGTATGGCAGAAGTTCACAACAGCATAAAAGACCTGAGAGATGCAGACATGGTAATTTCTAATATGTGCATAGAACAAATGGATCTTGAAGAATAGCAGCAAATTATTATATGCTTAATCAAGGGTGAATGGATGTCTAGCTGCCATTCCGGACATGGTCAGCTTCAAGAACAAGTTGATTCAGCTCCTGGAACCCACTTTGCAACCCCTGACTGTACAAATACTGGATTCTGTAAAGCAGAAATACCAGCAACGGTCTACTTTATCTAGCAAGGCTGGCTCTAACACTTTCTTCCATGTCTTGCCTTAGGATCTCATCTACTCTTTGGCCGTGTTCCACCACTCAGTCTGCAAGAACGCTGACCATCTTGCAAAGCCACAGGCTATCACAACAGTTAGGAGATTGGTGACATCATACTGACAGATCCTAAAGATCCAGCAGTTACCCTAGATGCTTCACAAAACACGTGTGCCAGAAAGCAAGAGATACAATGCATAGGGACAATAGCAGGTTATTCACAGAAATGGTGATAGGGTTTAGTGCCTGGCAGGGACCATGACAAGTTCCATTGGTAAACTCCTAACCAGGCATTTTCTGTGGCATGATTTTGGCAATCTGCTTGCCCACATTGCTCCATTTCTGCCATAACTCCAAGCTCAGCTCTTCAGGCTTCCTTTCCTTTCAAGCCTTTGATAGATTCTTTTTCCACGTAAGTTAGCTAGAAGCAGCTTGTTGTTTGCAAACAAGATTGATATACTAAATGATTTTAGGTTATAGGACTTATGAGGTAATGAACTAAAGAGAAGCACAAAGATCACTGTGCATTACGGCGCCTCAGCGCACACCATATTCAGTCAGCATGCAAAGTCAGGCACAGAGAGAGGTTGGAGAGGAGTCAAGTGAATAATCGAGTGGCTGAGTTACTCAAAACTTGGACTAAACTACTTCAAGACAGGTAAGAGTTTGAGCGTGTCCCGCTCAAATATTCCTTCCAACAGTTCTGGTAGGCTATCTGGGCTGTTGACTGCCTAAATGCTACAAGAAGCTACAGCTTAAGGCAGCAGTTTTCAACCTGTGGGTCGTGACCCCCTTGGCGGTCAAACGACCCTTTCACAGGGGTCGCCGAAGACCATCCTGCATATCAGAGATTTACATTACGATTCATAACAGTAGCAACATTACAGTTATGAAGTAGCAACGAAAATAATTTTATGGTTGGGTCACAACATGAGGAACTGTATTTAAAGGGCCAGAAGGTTGAGAACCACTGGCTTAAGGTAACATTCCACAACTACAGTAATTCAGGGAAAATGCTCCCAACCTCCTTTCTGACAGCATAGATCAGCCATGGGCAAACTACGGCCCGCGGGCCGGATCCGGCCCGTTTGAAATGAATAAAACTAAAAAAAAAAAAAGACCGTACCTTTTTAAGTAATGATGTTTACTTTGAATTTATATTAGTTCACACAACCACTCCATCCATGCTTTTGTTCCGGCCCTCCAGTCCAGTTTAAGAACCCATTGTGGCCCTCGAGTCAAAAAGTTTGCCCACCCCTGGCATAGATCCTGGTGGCAAGAAGGGGTAGAAAGAAAATGAGGGGCTCTTTTCCATTTGCTTCCCTCTCTTTGGAACCTACATAGCATTTCTGTTAGTCAAGCAGGATGAACGAACCCCATGTTTTTGCCGAGATCAACACCATATAGAAAATTTTAAAGTTGTCAAAGACCGCAGCAATGCCTAGCAAGATAACTGAATCTTTAAGCAAACACAATTAATCCTGAGGAGTTTTATGCACTCATTACTTAACTCTCACCATTATAGTTATGCCCAAACATAAGGAATTGATGATCATTTTTTCTTACCCTTTTAAAACATTTTATGCCTATTCAGCAGCCTGCAGGTGAAAAACAAAATGTGCTTTCATCAAAAACATATGAAGTATTGCCTTATATAAAATACTATTCCTCAATTTCCTTCCCAGGATGTCTTTCCTTGATCTCCAAAAACTCACTGTAAAGAGAGTAAGTGCTTGAGGGTACTGTAGAAGGAAGTGTGAAAGGCAGCTTTAGGGGAAATGGCAGCTCCAAATCCTTTTCATGTAGCAAGTAAAAGTCTCTAATCCACAATCAGGAAAAGGACAGTGATATAAAAATCATAATTTTTAAGGTTTCCATTGCTTTCTGGATTGCTTCTCGGCCTTTTGGCTAAGATCAAGTGTGTTTTCTGGGCATTCTCAATATTTACACAAGTATTTATTCATTTCCTTCAGGATCTTTACGGCTGGCTGGCCAAATTTGGGTTTTTCTACAATAAAATTAAGTATGTCCTGAAGATCATTTTCATTAAAATATTTAAAGAAAAATACTCCTATTCAAAGGAATGGTGGTGAATTCCAGGTTTTCCTCACTCGAGTTTTATTTGTCCGTTTATTTTTCTGCTAACAAAAAACCTAGACAATGAAAGAAATGAAGGTGTCTACATGCATCTCTGTGAGTGAAATGCCTTTAACCTTTGACTCAAAAGCTATTACAGTGAAAGCACTTACTTATACATTAAAGATAGATGACTTGGAACCAACATCTACTTTCCATGTGCTCTAAAAAAACAAATGTGGTTTAAGTCACCTGTAGAGGCTTTCTTCCCTACACCCTGGCATTGGGTGAATGACAAATATCCATAGAGGAACTTTATATAACACAAAGTTATCAAGAAATTATCCACTTTAAATGTATATGGAGCATGAGAACAATCTAAAATAAACAGTTTCTTTTCCTCTCTCCCCTGTCTCTCTCTAACCTGCCCATCTACCTCTATAAAGATTTGAACTTCCCTTTCTGTCTCTTTCCCTATAACCCTCTCTATCTTTCTACATGGAAACAGTTAAAGCAGGGGCTACAGCCATGGAAAGACATACAATCTAAGACCAAGTCCTGGGCTACAGCTTTCACTTCTATCAAATGAGGCACCATTTGAACTTTAATAATTCAATGTATTCTATTTGGTTCTTTTGACGCTTTCTTTAAAAATAAATCTCTTTGTCAGTTAAAAACTAACTTCTTCTAAGAGACTGGCTCACAACATGTATCTGATTTTCTTCAGTCTCTTGTGTTTCAAACATATGTTATTAAGACATTTGTTATCATACATTTTGGAATGTTATTATAAACCAATATTATTAACATAATCATGATCATACCTTTTGCATTTTACCTACAAGCATATATATATATATATATATATATATATATATATATATATATATATATATTTCTCTTTTTTCTGACACAGGTATATCTATAATAATAATATGTAAACACACAAAATTTTTACAGATCTTTGTCATTATGCAGCCTGTATTTTATCTGCAGAAAATTTATATTCATAGCAAACCTATTTTTATAACTTTGTTTGGACTAGGATGGCATAGCAATAGGTTCACTATGAACAGGTCTTAGAAGCTTACAGTATTAGTCCTTGATTTTGCCTGAGAAACACATGCTCTCTGGCTTCTTTGCAATCACCTTACAGAGAATGGTAATTGTTCCTCTTAGGTAATCATTTCAATCATAGACTGATTCTGGCTGAATGGCATCCTTTAGATCAGCGGTTCTCAACCTGTGGGTCGCGACCCCTTTGGGGGTCAAATGACCCTTTCACAGGAGTCGCCTAAGACCATCGGAAAACACACATATAATTACATATTGTTTTTGTGATTAATCACTATGCTTTAATTATGTTCCATTTGTAACAATGAAAATACATCCTACATATCAGATATTTACATTACGATTCATAACAGTAGCAAAATTACAGTTAAGAAGTAGCAATGAAAATAATTTTATGGTTGGGGGGTCACCACAAAATGAGGAATTGTATTAAAGGCATTAGGAAGGTTGAGAACCACTACTTTAGATTTTTACTTCTTCCAACAAGCTCTGGTGCCTGAGGGACTGGAACATTCTAGAGAAAAAAATAAAATGTTCAGTCCTGGATATTAGGCATAGGGCCTGTCAACTCAAATACTTAGAAGATCAAAAATTTTAAACGACAGGTGAAAGCTCCATGTTTCCCCCAAGATATTGCCAAGAAGAAAGAGAAATTAAAAGGGGAGAGAGGACAGATTGACAGTTCATGCTGAATCTTTTCTTTCCACGCAATTCTTCGGCATGAGGTGCTTAGCCTTTTTAATATTCCTAACAGCATGCCTGCAATATCATGTACAGCATCCCTGCTATGATGCTCAGTGAGGAAAAAAAGAGAAATTTGAGAGAAATGCATGGATTTTACCCAACATGAATAAGACGATAATGCAAATAAGAATATAACACTTCTGGGATTGTCAGTTTTGCACATGTGGCTTTGTCCTACATACTGTGTGTTCTCTTAATAATTAGATAGTGTGAAAATGTTCAGAAGGGGAAAACAATGCTTGAAATAGATCTTTAACAGGCTGTGAAATGGCTGAACACTCAACATAATGAAACATCAAAACTGAAATTAAAATCTGCCCCCAAAAATCCATTCTTATGATCATTAATCAGAACAATATTTTATATGTCAAAAATGCTTGCTCTAATCACACATGGAAACAGACTCTTTCACAGTGATTAGCTTATTGTGGAAGCCAAGCAAACTCATATTTTTATACTGTGTCAAAAATAATTTTCCAGATTCTCTATCTTCCAAACCTGGTAGGGTCTTTGAACAAAATGATGACAGGTACCCACAGGTTTTTCTATTGGATGCTTTAATGGACTTAATATAAAGTCAACAGGATACAGAACATGACTCACTTTAATCAAATGCAATATACAAATTTTGAAATCAGTAAATTACAGGAAGACTAAGTTGAAAAATGTATCTGAATCATATAAAAGAATTCACTGTAAGTATGCAATTCTTCCTTTAAAAAATAAAGCCACTTAAATGTATTCTTTAAAAATCTTATTAGGATTCCTATCACAAAATGAGCTCCAAATAGTAGAAAACTGAATCATTAAATCAACTGTTCATTTAGAGTCCTAGCAGACCAGGAGACTAGAAACCCAAAACTTAGATAAGATATAAGCAAGTAAATTACAAAAAAATACTATTTACATTAAAAATTTACTCTATATCATATAAAGGATTCACTCTGAATATGAAATTTTTCTGATTAAAAAAATACAGCTATTTTAAATCTGTCCATTTTAATGGGGGAAAGGGGAAACATCTGTAATACTTTCAACAATAAAGATCAATTTAAATTTTTAAAAAATGTGTCCATTTAACATTCTTAGCATTCCCCTCCACTAAAGTAGGCCTCCAAATGTTGGAAAATAGAAACATTAAAACAATTGTCTCTTTAGAGATTTCTAGACCAGGAGACTAGAAACCCAAAAACTCATCTCAGAGATGTCTATCAACATTTATCCAGAGAAATCCTTATGAATTATGTTTCCTACCAAAGACTTTTTTTCTCCGATTTTTTAGCAATAAAATCAGGAATTGCAAATCAGAACAGAAGCGAATAAAACAGACTGCCAAGATATCATTATGTGAATAAAGGTTATAGGATTACTAGAGGCCCAGTGCACAAAAATTTGTGCACTCGGGGGAGGGAGGGGTCCCTCAGTCCAGCCTATGCCCTCTTGCAGTCTGGGACACCTCAGCGGATGTCCACCTGCTGGCTTAGGCCCGTGCCCTGGGGGATCGGGCCCAAGCTGGCAGTCAGACATCCCTCTGGCAGCCCGGCAGCCCTCAGGGGATGTCCACTTACCAGCAGAGAGCAAACCTAAGCTGCAGTCGGACATCCTTAGTGCTGGTGAGGAGGCGGAAGAGGCTCCCACCACCACCGCTGTGCTGGCAGCCATCAGCCTGGCTTGTGGCTGAGCAGAGCTCCCCCTGTGGGAGCGCACTAACCACCAGGGGACAGCTCCTGCATTGAGCATCTGCCCCCTGGTGGTCAGTGTGTGTCATAGTGACCAGTCATTCCCAGTCATTCTGCTGTTAGGGTCAATTTGCATATTACCCTTTTATTATATAGGATAGAGGCCTGGTGCACAGGTGGGGGCCGGCTGGTTTGCCCTGAAGGGTGTCCCGGATCAGGGTGGGGGTCCCGCTGGGTTGCCTGGACAGCCTTGGTGAGGGGTTGATGGGTGTTTGCAGGCTGGTCACACCCCCTTCAGGGTGGGGGTCCCCACTGGGGTGCCTGGCCAGCCTGGGTGAGGGGATGATGGCTGTTTGCAGGCTGGTCAAGCCCCCCCCCCCCAGTGGGGACGCTCACCCCATGGAGGATTGGCCAGCCTGGGTGAGGGGCTGATGGCTGTTTTCAGGCTGGCCAAACCCGCTTTAGGGTGGGGGGGTCCCCACTGGGGTGCCTGGCCAGTCTGGGTGGGGGGCTGAGGGCCGTTTTCAGGCTGGCCAAGTCCCCCAGCCACGGAAGCTCCCAGCCTCTCCTTTTTTTTATTTTATTTTTTTTAATTCTGGGATTTATTTACCTTCTGTAATTGAAACTTTGTAGCCTTGAGTGGAGCTCAGAGCCGACCAGAGCGGGCGGGAAGCTTGGCTTCCTCCATCACCAGGGGCAACCCAAGCCTCCTGCTCACTCCAGCTCCGTGGCCATGGCCGGCTGAAAGCAGGTATCTGGGGTATATTTATCTTCTTTAATTGAAACTTTGTTTCCTTGAGTGGAGCTCAGAGTCGGCCGCAGCAGGCGGGAAGCTTGGCTTCCTCCATCACTGGGGCAACCAAGCCCCCTGCTTGCTCCAGCTCCGTGGCTGCCAGCCGCCATTTTGGTTGGGTTAATTTACATATAGACGCTCTGACTGGCTGATGGGTGTGGCTTAAGGTGTAGCAAAGGTATGGTCAATTTGCATATTTGTCTTTTATTAGTGTAGATGTTACCTTGTTTAATTAATTGACTTAAACACACATTAGTCATCTGTGTACTGTCAGTGTACAAATATGATATCCATCCATGTCATTGTATTGGTTCAGCAGCCTCTATGATCAGAGCACTTTGTGAGCTGCCCAAAGACCAGTAAAGTGACAGATATAACCCCTGGCTACAACAGAAGAGCCAGAAGGAGTGTGGTCATTTCCCACCTCCACCACTCTTCACCTGTTTAAATTCTGCATCTCCCTCAAGAATCAGATTAAAGGCCACATTCCATGGAATTTCTTGTGTCTGGCTGGACTTTGTCCTACTGTAAGCTAGTCTAGCATACTGTTTTCATTCTCCTGGGCATGCACAGAAAGAATTCAAGATAGAACATGAGCGGGACTTTTACAAAATGTGTCCATTTAATTTCTGCAACTAGACAGAAATTCTTTAGAAAATGACTGCTTCAATGTCATTGTTGTATCTATCATGCCGCTTTCTACAGAGCT